CTGGACACTATGTGTCCCAAGAATGCCACTGAACTAAGCCAGAACTCACCCTTAGAGAATTTGGAATACAATCTCTCCCCTCTCAGCCTCTGTAATACAATACCCAAGTGTTGTACATGCTCCTCCTGGCTACGTGAGTATACCGGGATATCATCAATAAATACCACGATAAATGAGTCAAGATACGGCTGGAATACGCTATTCATCAGGTGCATAAATGCTGCTGGGGCATTGGTTAGCCCAAATGACATCACCAGAAATTCATAGTGACCATAACGAGTTCTGAATGATGTTTTTTGAATATCCAAATCCCGAATTTTTAACTGGTGATACCCCGATCTCAAATTAATTTTGGAGAATACCCTCGCTCCCTGAAGTTGGTCAAATAAACCATCAATACACGGCAAAGGATACTTATTCTTGATTGTAACTTTGTTCAACTGCCTGTAATCGATACACATTCGCATAGTACCATCTTTCGTTTTCACAAACAGAACCGGTTGCACCCCAAGGCAACACACTAGGCCTAATGAACCCAATATCAAGAAGTTCCTGAAGTTTCTCTTTAAATTCTTTTAACTCATCTGGTGCCATACAGTACAGAGGAATAGAAATGGGTTGAGATCCCTGCACCAAGTCAATACCGAAATCAATATCCCTGTCGGGCGGCATACCTAACAGGTCTACATGAAATACATTTGGAAAGTCTCTCACTACCGGTATTGAATCAGTATTAGGAGTATCTGCATCAACATCTCTCACAAAAGCCAAATATGACAAACACCCCTTCATAACCATATGTTAGACTTTCAAATAATAAATTACCCTGCTGGGAACATGATCTAGAGAACCCCTCCATTCGACCTTCAGCAACCCCGGCATCGCCAACGTCATGGTTTTTGCGTGACAGTCCAGAATAGCATGACATGGAGACAACCAATCCATACCTAAGATTACATCGAAATCAACCATACTGAGCAATAAGAGATCAACTCTAGTCTCCAGTCCCCCAATGGTTACCACACAAGACCGATATACATGGTCCACAATAATAGTAGCGCCCACCGGCGTAGATACACGAACATATGAAACTAAGGACTCACGGGGCATATCCAGATAATGAGTAAAGTATGATAATACATACGAATAAGTAGAACCAGGGTCAAATAATATAGAAGTTTCCTTATGGCACACTGAGACAATACCTGTGATCACTGCATCTGAGTAAACGACATCTGGCATGGCAGGAAAAGCATAGAATCGGGCCTGACCGCCACCTGATCGGCCTCCTCCTCTTGGGCGACCCCTAGTTGACTGACCCCCACCCAGAGCTGGCTGGGCAGGTGGTGAAGTAACTGGTGCTGAAGTCGTAGTCTGACTCCTCTGCTGCACTGGATCTCCCGAGCGACGAGGACATTGCCTCCACATATGCCCAAATTCCCCGTACTCAACGTAGCTCCCCAGTACTAGTGGTGGTACTGACTGAATCAGGCCCTGAGAACCAGAATAACTGCTGGAAGCACCTGATGCAAATAAAACCTGAATCGAAGGAGCACGGGATGAACTCTGGGCTGGCAGGGCACTGAGGGATGAATGGCCCTGATGAGAACTATATGAACCCTGGCTGGATGATACACCACAGTGAACTGGACAACCCGTATGAGTGTGTCTGTAAGGACGACCCCTACCGCGGTAAAACTGACCCCCCAGAAGGAACACCGCTGAAATCACCTGGACCACGAGGCCTTTTAGCCTCCCTCTCTCCACGCTCTTGGCTACGTGCCATATCTATCTACCAAGCAATGTCAACTACCTCATCAAAAGTAGCACCAGATACCCTCTCCCGAGTCATAAGTAACCGCAACTGGTATGTGAGACTATCAATGAACCTCTTAATCCTCTCCCTATAAGTGGGAACCAACCAAACTGCGTGACGAGCCAACTCAGAAAATCTCATCTCGTACTGTGTCACAGACATACCATCTTGACGTAACTGCTCAAACTGTCTGCGCAGCTTCTCTCTGCGAGACTACGACACAAACTTCTCCAAAAGAGAACGGAGAATTCCTAACATGTAAGTGGTGCTGCACCGACCAGCCTGCGCCTCTCATAAGCCTCCCACCATCTGAAGGCAGCCCCAGAAAATTGAAAAGTAGTGAACGAGACCCCACTGGTCTCTAGTATACCCGCTGTCCGAAGTATCCGCTGGCACTTATCCAGAAAACACTGAGCATCTTCTAACTTAGCACCACTAAATGATGGAGGTCGAAGCCTCCCAAATCTCTCAAGTCTCCTATGGTCATCATCTGCCATAACGGGCACTACCGGGGCCTTAACAGCTGCAGATGGCTGGGCTGATAGTGCCCCCAGTTTCTGAAATCCCTATAACACCTAATATGGAGTACGAGCAACAGGGGTATGAGTACCTCCCCCCGCCTGAGAAGTGGCAAGTGCGACCTGAGCCGAAACCACCTGAGCAAGGCTAGTGCAAACTGTCAATATCTGGGCCAAAGTCTCCTAAAGGCCTGAAATCTCAATAGGCACAGCTGGTGCCTGAGCTGGTCCTGTCGACTCAGCTATATCTGGAATCTGCTCCTGAGCTGGAGCAACTGGTGGTACTACAGGTGCTACTCCAACTGCTGTACGAGCTACACCTCGACCTCTACCTCGGCCCCTGCCTCTACCACGGACCCGGCCTCTCGCGGCCCTAGCTGGTGGCACTGGTGGCTGACCGTCCAATTCGGTAGTACGTGTCCTCACTATTTCTGAGAGAATAGAATAACAGAAATTTAGTTTTCGGAATCAACAATTCGCACGACAGAATACAAGAAAATGAAATTTTCCTAAGGGTTAGGCAGCCTCTTGAAGAAAAGTACAGACGTCTCCGTACCGATCCGCAAGACTCTACTAAACCTGCTCATGACTCGTGAGACCTATGTAACCTAGGCTCTGATACCAACTTGTCACGACCCAAAATCCTAACCTATCGTGATGGTACCTATCTCGATACTAGGCAAGCCGACAACATCAATAAACCACAATTTCTTTTAAGTTTGAAAATATAATATTTAAACACAATCCACAAGTCTCGCAAATACCGATACACACACTCCCAAAACCTGGTGTCACTTAGTACATGAGCATCTATACATTACAAGTCTGGAAAACGTGGTCTATAATAATCCGAGACCAAATACAATAAACAAAAGGATAGGGAAGGAGAGACAAGGTCTGCGAAACATGGCAGCTAACTCTGAATCTCTGAAAAATCAACTGTGTGAAAGAATCAACACCCATTGTATGCGGGATCACCTGGATCTGCACACGAAGTGCAGGGTGTAGTATGAGTACAACCAAATCAGTAAGTAACAATAATAAATAAAGAACTAAAAGTAGTGACGAGCTTCTCAGCTAAGTCCAAATACAGTACTTTTCAATATAAAAGAGTAGGCATGCTCTCAAGTTCAACTTTAAGATTTCACTGAAATTTCATATCAAGTTTGACCGAAACATAAAATAATGTTTTTCCGATATTTCCAAATGATATATGACAGCTGAAATGCAGCAAATAATGAAATCAATGCATCCTCTCAGAGTAACAGTCACTCAGTCCTCCCATTCACTCAAACCTCACAGTCACTCTTTCCTTACAGCCACTCTTTCCTCACAGTCGCTCATCACTCGGCACTCGACACTCGCACTCAGTAGGTACCTGCGCTCACTGGGGGTGTGTACAGACTCCGGAGGGGCTCCTTCAGCCCAAGCGCTATATCAAGCCAATCATGACATAAATCAATGAACATGCTGCGGCGTGCAGCCCGATCCATAAATATCCTCACAATTAGGCCCTCGGCCTCACTCAGTCATCAACCTCTCCAGTCTCTCGGGCTCTCAGAAATCATGATAAGCATCCTAACAACAATGATATGATGCATCTATAATGAATAAGAGAGACTTAGGTAAAAATTTGCAAATAGAACTGTGACTGAGTGCAAAACAGCAATTTAGCAAATAATTTCATAAGTACACGACCTCTGTGGGTCCCAATAGTGTAAACATATGATTTAAACATGATTCATAGATCAATTTCTCTAATACGGGAAAAAATGTACGGATATCGACAAATTTTTCAACTACACAGTTCCATGGAATTGACCACGTCATAATTCCTACGGTGCATGCCCACACGCCCGTCACCTAGCATATGCGTCCCCTCAAAACCAATCACATAATACATATTCCGGGGTTTCATACCCTCAGGACCAAATTTAGAACTGTTACTTACCTCAAGCCGTGTAATTCTTTATTCTGCAATGTCTTTTCCTCGTGAATTGGCCAACAAATGCTTCGAATCTAGCCATAAATAATTCGATTCAGTCAGTAAAATTTATTGGAATTAATCCCATAAGAAAATACTAATTTTCAAACAAAATCCAAAATTTAGCTCAAAAATTGCCTATGGGGCCCATGTCTCGGAACCCGACAAAAGTTACAAAATCTGAAAGCTTATTCAACCACGAGTCTAACCATACCAATTTTACCAAAATCCGACCTCAACTCGACCCTCAAATCTTCAATTTAAACCAAGAGGGTTTTCTAAATCTTCCAACTTAATTCACTAATTAAATGTCAAAAACAACCATGGATTCGGATAATTTAACCAATATTGAGTTAGGAACACTTACCCCATTGTTTTCCTTGAAAATCTCCCGAATATTCTCTCTCTCCGAGCTCCAAATCGATAAAAATGGAAAATGAGATGAAGTCCCATTTTCAGAACTTAAACTCTCTACCTAGTCATTTGCTCTACGCGATCACGGACAACATTTCTTCGATTATTATATTATTTCAGGATTAAATTAATTTATTTGTCTAAAAATTACTTATAAATTTAACTGTATCGTTTTACGGGTAAACAATACTGATCCTAAAATGGTACTCCTAGTCGTAGCCCTAAGTAGAATATTCTTCCACACAATGGAACAAGGCTTGATGAGCAATCATTTTTTGAATAGTTAAAAAAAAGAAAAAAAAAAGTAAAAGTCTGTTTGAAGAAGAAAAAAAGGCAGTTGCGTGCGGTGGGCAGCTACATCCTCAATCCAGTTGTCTTGCAAATCGCTCCACTTAGGGTACATCTCAGCACTTGCCGGAAAAAGGGAACAGGAAAAGTGTGATGGGGATTATAAGGAGCAGTTTCTCATTCATATCAGGAACTGTTTGCGGAATATACATAGCTCAGAACTACAACGTCCCCAACATTCGAAAGCTTATTGAGAACGCTTTATTCAAGGCCAAAGATGTCGAAGAGAAATATCGCAAGCCCCCCAAGCCTGGCGATCGCCTTTAGATTTCACTCTCCATATTTCAGGTTAACCATTCCTAAATCCCCAATTCCTTCGTGAATACTTATTTCTAATGTCCATAACAGTTCAACCGAGACAATCAAAAATTGTGTGACCTTTATAGCATGCTAGATTGAAATCTTCAAGTAAATTTTACCTGTTAATGATGATTTTTCGCTCGCCTTTTTACTTGACTTTCTCTATATCAAACTGTGCGCCAGAGGAATAATTTCGCCCTTTGGGCCGACCGATCAGTTGAATGCGTACTCAATCTTCAATTAGTATCACTTAAATTTGTGTAATTATGTTTATGTGGCGCTCGATGTTCCAATTAAATCTCTCAAGTTTTAGCAGGATTTTAGACTGATTGCCTTTCCTTTTATAGGAAAAGATCTGAATGGTAGACCAGTGTTCACTACCAATCCTTTGAGATAGAGACTGAGAGCTACAATAATACAATTTTATAACAAAATTTTCCTGTTAAATATTGTGTTGCTATGCATCCATTCTGGTTCATGGTTTATCAGCTAGAAGTTTTGTTTGTAATGGTGAATAGTTGCATAATTTGTCCGGTACGTACAATTGGCTGCTTGCATATTGTAATCTTTTAGTCGGCTACCTTTAGACCTTTTTACATTGAAATTTGCACCATACCAAGGAACTGTGGAATGTTTGTTTGGCTGCGGATTCTAGGACATTTTCTAATTGGGACTTAGCCATCTAGCTTTTTGGTTGATCGTTTGAAAATACTAAGCAGAACACATTTGGAAGTTCTTTTCTGTGATGTCTGACACTGGTCCGGCAGCTATTACCTATTTGGCGCTGTTCCTCAGTGTTCTGAAGAGATTGCATTTTCTGGGAGGTAAGAACAGTCTAAGTGTAATGTACCTTTGAATGATTCTGAAGAGGTTTTGAAAAATAATTTTTGTAGGATTATAGTGTCTGGAAAAAGAAAAACTATCTTCTGAAACAGTTATGTGGAAGGATGTTTTTCTGAAAACAGAAACTAAATAGCAACATGATTTTGCAAAAGTATCACTTAGACCCATGTCACTCATTCCGACGCCATTAGAAATTGGGGACAATTGATGATAAAAGTGCGCTTCTGTTTTCTTAAAGGCTTCTCTAGCGTATGGAATTGTGGCTATATCTGGTGCATTGGCTACTTCCTGCGGAGTTGCTTCTTATTCCCTTGGTACTTCACAGCACTTATAGCTTGTTTTGAGATCCAGAAAGATCAGATTCCTAGAGTCAAAAACAAGTGTTTGCTTAATTTGTTTCTGTGGTGTAAAAGTAGTCTCATAGAAAACATTGATCAATATATGGATTTCTTGGAATTGTTAGGGAAATGTTGTAACTAACTGCATGGATACTCCCAGCAGCAGCTATGTGTAATTCTGTGGTACCATCTTGGTACTAGTTAATAAAACCTTACCTTATCAACAACAACAAAAAAAGGGGTCAAAGGTTGCAAATAAAATGCATTTGAAGCCGTATGTTTGTTAAAATGATCACATGCATATGTAGTTTACTCGTTCCTTTGAATTGCCAGATATAGGTGTATGAATACCGTGGCATAGATCTCCACAACAGTTGATTGTAGAAAGGAGTTTATCCAGCTTATCTTAACATGTTATAGTATTTTTCAGGATCAAATGGGTTTTAGCATGTTCAGTTAATGCTCAGGTTAGCTCCTAAGAAAGGCTAGTATGTCTTCATGACGTTTCAATTCTAAGCTCTGAGAGGTATTGCACCTTGCTTGCTCATACATTTTGCCTTGAGTTATCAGATTTTGACATATTTGGCTAATTTTAAACGGATCTTCTCCCTCAACCTATCAAAAGGTTCGCTTCACTAGGATTATAAAGTTAAATTTGTCAAAAGCTAGCACCATAAGTAGGGTTTTAGTGAGTAGTAATAGTGATGCAAGTATTCTGTTAGACTCTCAAACGCCTGTGGGGCACTCCTTTATCCATTGGTAATACTTGACCTGTTAATATACTGGGAAGAATTGAGTTCTTTTCCTATCGATGATTCCACAAGAATGCAGTTGAGGTCTACCATTCTCCCCTATGTTAATGTTGAACTTCGTTGGTGGTGCAGGGCAGTTCCATTTCCAAGGTGAAACTAACTAATTTTATGATTGGCCTCGATTCTTTGTTCAAAGATAAAATTTTCGAAAACCATACATGTTGCCACCCAGAACCTACACTTGGATTCAACGTCAGATTGTGCTTCCTCATTACTTTATAGCCCCAAGACAATTGCTCTTTATCTCTCTTAGCAGCATATTGTCTGCATAGCCTCCATAGTGTGTGCAAGCATTCTTGGAGACGTTCTCAACATTTTTGAACAATTTACTTACCAACACCTGATTCATCCTTTAAGCACAATTTATTACCGACCTCATGATACGTGTCCCAATGTTTTTTCCCTGAATAGCATAACCATATATAAGTCTGTCCCTCGGCCTTGAGCTGTAAAAAAGAAAGATATTTTTTTGGTCCTCTGGTGCTAGCTGGATCTGATGATATCATTGATAGGCACACTGGAAGCTTAGTAGTTCGCACCCAGATGTTGCATCAACAATCGGCTATTTGGATAGGGAAAACAATCCTTCAATCCGTACAGTGGACCTATTGAAGTATGAAGTAGCAGACTCCATGCTGTTGGATTTAACAAGTTATTTTGATGGGCTACCCTTTCGTGGTTTTATTTATTGTAATTGATATTGTTATTATTTAGGAACCGATGTCTGTTTTAAGTGGTCGTATAGCATTGTTTTATATCTGGCTGATCCCTCTTCTGAAAATGTAATGTTAAACAACGAGTTTCATCCTCGGGGGCATTACAGAAGCTACTTGAACAATGTTTCGATCGCAACTGGATGGGGTAAAATACATAAATTATCAACAAATTCAATTAGTAGGTGTCCCATTCTACAAGTTGTACACGACTTCTTGGCCAGATCGCAAGTATCTGGCATTCTTGGGACCTTAATTCTTGAATCACGTCACTCACCTCAACTACAACTAGCCTGGTCAAAAACAAACCAGCAATGAAAGCTGCTCCCATCAGCATTAGCAAAACTGCATTCCAGCTATTAGCTGAAATGTAACCCATTAGAAATGGTCCAATTGCAGCACCAATTGAGCCAGTTCCATCAATTATGGCAGTCACAGTTGCAAGTGCTCGTGAATTGCCCTTCAAAGATCTCTGTGTTCCTAGGTCAGCTGAAACGGCAGTTGTTATCAATGAACAAGTGTCAATCACAAATACTCCAGTAATCAACATTAGGATGATGTTTATAGCATGGAGATGTGTCCGTAGTTTTGATATAGGTATAGGGCTGGGATAGCACAGTACATGAAGCTAGCAGCTGTTATAGCTCTAGCATCCAACTGATCAGAGATGCAACCTGCTAGGGTTCCTCCTCCTACCCCTCCAACATCAAACAATGTTGATAAGTTTCCAGAATCCTCATTGGACAAGTATCTTCCGTCTATAGCTATTGTAACATTAAACAGACAAAAGGGTAGATACATACCTACACATAACAGAGTGAGAAAATAACTGATAACACGAGAAATATAACATACCTGTGTGGCTAATGTAGAAGGGGGGCCAAAAGATAAATGTGTAAGACACCAACTTGACAAAGAAAAGGCAAAGAGCAAATTGTGCAACCCCAGGATTCTCCATGCTTCTATAAAACCCACAACTGATTCCCCCTCGCTGTCTGATCTCAAGAGAGGTTCATTCACTTCTTCTTCTTCTTTTGATAACAATTCATCGTCATCCTTGTTAACCCCAATAGACTCAGGATGAACTGGCAATAGAAGGAATACTACCCTCACTACTAGAAAACTGGCAAAAAGCGTCCAGGAAAACCGACCGAAATCGGTCGGAATTGAACAAAAGCCGACCGATTTTCGACCGTTTTCAATTTGTCGAAAAATAATGGTCGTTAATGCGAGGCGATCGCAGACGGTCGACATTTCCGACCGAAGTCGGTCGGTAATTTTCAACGTACTTTGACCAAATAATCTGACACAAAATAAACTTACCGACCGAATTCGGTCGGTATTCTTGAAAATAATTTTTAATTATTTTTAAATTAGCGACCGACTTCGGTTGGAATTTTAATTATTCATTTTTTTAAATATTGTTCACTTCCGACCGAACTCGGTCGGTAATATTAAAATATTTAAAATTTAAAATAAAAAATTCCGACCGAAGTCGGTCGGTGTTATTAAAATATTTAAAATTTAAAATAAAAAATTCCGACCGAAGTCGGTCGGTGTTATTAAAATATTTAAAATTTAAAATCAAATATTCCGACCGAAGTCGGCCGAAAAATTAAATGAACATTTCCGATTGACTTCTGTCGGTAGGCGATCAGTTTTTTGGGTAAGCTTTTGGCAGAATACAGTTGTTTTACAGCTACACCACCTGCCAACAATCAATCACCTATAATGAAAGCATTACATTGCTGCCATTCAACCAATAACAACAACAATAACAACAATAACAACAACAACAACTATCAAAACTATATTAACAATATTTATAGAGTTTCAAAATACCCAACAACAAAACGTTTCACAAGTTAAAAGTTCAAACATCATTCAATGAGTGTTTTGTACTACATCATCTCCATCTCCACCACTAGAAGCTTCATCGTTGGCATGGTTCGAAGGATCATGACGAGAAGGATTAGCATCTGGGGAAGACTCACGAGACCGGGGAATCGGGAAAGCACCACTAGCAAGAAGATTGGCCAGCTAACCTTGAAGGACATTAAATTGTTGGTCCCTCTTTTCTAGCTGAACTTGAAGGGTATCAAGTTGTTTATCTCTCTTTTCTTCTCTAGCCTTTGTCTCTTCAAACTGTGCTTTCAGCTTTGCGATCTTCTTCTCCATACCCGAGAGAGTCGACCTATCAATTGCCTCGCACTGGGCGGAAGTCCCTATACCTCGCACTGGGCGGAAGCCCTGTCTGGAAGGCCGTATGATATCCCCTTTTTAGGACCACCAACAACATCCAACCATATCTTCTGCGCTTCTTCGTCTGAAAGGGGTGGTCGCTCGCCTTGCTCATTCGGTGGTAAGCTCTGAGTATACTCCTCCACATTAGTCTTGTAGCGAACCTTTATTTAGAAGATAAAAAATTATTAACTATATAATATAATAAATATTAATTTCAGGTTATAGTAGTTATGAAACTTACATATGTAGTCTCCGCCCGGTCCTCGACCCATCTACTTGGATCTGTCGGTGCCTTCTTCTTCCGGATGTGAGTCTCCATGAAAAACTCATCATGAGTCATCCTCCTCCCATAGTTTTTTCCTACAAATATAATAAAACATGTTAACTAAATTAAAATATATAAATATAGTTCAATAAAAATAGATTTAAATATTTTAAGGAATTACCAGTGGTCACCTCGCACTCCCCATGCTCCTTGCACCCACACAGTGCAAGGAGCCACTCTTCTCAGATGCTCGGGCCTTCTTTCCCTGTTCACTCCTCTTCTCGAATTTATCAGTGGTTCACTGCCTCAGCAGATCCTCCCATAAATGCGGTAGAACCCATGAAAGCTTCTTGCTCTTCTTTCGAGCAGAACAAAAAGAATCAAATAGTCTCTTACGACATTTGAACTCAAAATTTACAAGAATGGCACTGTTTTGCCAGTCCTCCCAGGCACACTTAGTCTGCAAATGAAGTATGTAACGTTAGATGAAAATATTATTAATATAATGCTTAAATAGATAAAAATTGTATTAAAACCTTAAATTGGTTGAAAAGTTTCTCCACGAGCTTCGGTGGAAATTCACTCCAAGTCGCATAGGATGCATCATACAACCGGCCAAGAGCTTCAGTGATTATCTTTGTAGTCTGATGACTAGGTATGAACCTGCAACATAGCAATTACATTAAATAAACAAGACTAGCTATTATAATTTAGCAAAAACAAAGAAGTAATAAATAAATCTTACCCATTGCCCTCAGGCCTGGTGATCATTCTATGATAATGATCATACCGCACTTCCTATGGATCATCATCCTCCGATGGATCTGAAATGTGCGTAGAAGGGGGGGCATCTGGCTCAACGCTACTATCCCGAAGGTGAAGTCTAGAAATGCTGGGAGACGAACTCTGTGGAGAGGGAGACGTGGTCGCTAATAAAGATGGATGCGATCTAGACCCCTACTGCGATCCAGACCACTGCTGCGATCTGGGTGGATGAAATCTAGATGGATGCGATCCAGGTGGTGGTGAAGCAAATGGAACAGATGACAGGCGTATCACCACATGGCCCTGTGACTGCTGACTCAGTGGACCCATGTAACTATATGCAGGATCATGTGGAGGAAGCGGGGTATAGCCCTGTGGTGGAGAATGGTAAGAATACTGCTGGGAGGGCGAATGGTAGGTAGTCTAATGAGTAGATAGATGTGGTGGAAAATTTGTGTGCCTAGAAGATTCCTGCCGGCCATCAGCAGCGGAGGGATACAAGTGCGGAGTGGAAGGAAGCGAGGGTGTCGCACTATCCTCATGATCAATAGGCCTCTTATCCTTCCTAGACCTACCTCGACCCCTACTAGTCATCTGCATAAATTAAAGAAAATGTTAGAATTGAGAATATAAATCTATATAAGTTGAGAGTGCTTGAAAAAACTAACAGGCTAGTCGTCTTCGAAGTATCCTTCCTCATCTGAAAATTCTTCCTCTTCACTTATTTCATTTTCATCAGGTGATTCGTCGTCCTCATTTTCTATGATTGTTATTTCCTCCATATCAGCTTCTTCTAATATGCGTTGAGGATGCTCCAAGTCATTTTCTAACTGATCATCCACCATTTGGTTATGTCACGACCCAAAACTCAACATGTCGTGATGTCGCCTATCATGGTACTAGGCAAGCCGATATCTCACACATACCACATTTTTTAAATTTCCAAATATACTGAAATAAATTTAAATAAGTGAGAATCTCGTAAAAATTGGATATAAACATCGTAACTCAGTACAAAATTCTCCCATAAGATCCAGGTGTCACGGAGTACATCAGCATCTACATAACAACACGGTCTAACCAATGGAACAATGTCTAGGAAAGTAGTACAGTATAAACAAGACTAAAGGATAGAGGAGGAGAGTCAAGGATTGCAGACGCCAAGGCAGCTACCTCGATGAACTACGAACTGATGAACTGTCAGGAATCAGCAACCGCCGTGGCCGAAAATACCTGGATCTACACACGAAGTGCAGGGTGTAGCGTGAGTATAACCAACTCAATAAGTAACAAGTCTAACCTGTGATCTAAAAGCAGTGACAAGCCCAAACGATACAGTAAAGATACATAGTTTAACAATATAGAAAAATAGGCATGCTTTTAGGTTCAACAATTAAGTTTAGCACTGATAAAATATGCCAAGTGTGACTGATAAGAAGAGTATGACGTCTCTATAGCTACATGACAATGTGAAAACCGTATGTGATGCAACACAGTGAAATCCCAAGTACTCACACTCTGAGAGCACTCAATCTGACCGTCTTAATTCTCGCTCGTCACACTCAGTCACTCAGTATTGTACCATACCTGCTGCGGCGTGCAGCCCGATCCACTTATGGCCATAAGGCCCGTTGCGGCGTGCAACTCGATCCACATATATATATCCATAAGGCTTGTTGCGACGTGCAACCCGATCCACATATATATAACCATCCGAACTCCACCCGAGGCCCCCGAGACCTCAACCAAATATACCAACAAGTCCTAAAACATGATACGAACTTAGTCAAGCCTTTAAATCACATCAAACAACGCTAAAACTACGAATCACGCATCGATTCAAGCCTAAAGAACTTTTGAACTTC